TGAGCGGCTCAGAAACCCCCCGGGGAGGGGCTCTCCGGCCTGGAAGGTCGTTTAGGAGTTGGAATCTTTACGAGATTTTTTTTGGTGGTGGTGGGGGGTACTTCTTGAGCTTTATTTTTGTTGTTGTTTTTAATCATTTTATTGGGCGCTCGTACAACTCTTATCACAATCCATACACCAATTGAATCAGGCATGTTTGTACATATGTTGCCCTCATTCTCTATGAGACATATACTTTCTATTGAGCCCTTGGTATCAGCTCTTTTTTTCCTCCCCCCACCCCCCCACCCTCATAACCCCCCCATAGAACATACATTGTTATTTTCTTTTTTTTCCCCTGACCCTAATGCTAACCCAAACTCTAACCCTAAACCGAAGTCTAACCCTAACCCTAACCTAACCCTTAATCTAACCCTAAACCCCACATTGTTATGATTTTCATCTCTCCTTTCCCCCATGTTTTCTGTTGTTCTTCCCCCTGGAGAGGGGGGTATGGTATGTGTCGATCATTGCGATCGGTTTCCCCTTTCTCCCTGCCTCCCCCCTCTTCCCCCTGCCCTTCTGATGTTGCTATTCCCACCCCTGTTCCTGGATCCTGTGTGTCGTGAGCTCCCATCCCTTTCTATACCTCGAGCTTTATTCTCTCAGCCTTCGCACCCACTCACTCTGCCAGGAAGGGACCAGGATTCCGTCCCGGGCCTGGCATTCCGCCACGAAAGTGCCTGACTGCGGCTTTCGGATTGCATGTTCGGGTTGAAAGACCCAGAGAGGCTCAGAAGCAATGCTCAGTGTTTCCTTATGTTTCACTTGATGGCTCTGGATCTGTGTGTCGGGGCACAGGCTGGCTCCTTGTGCTCTGCAGTATGTGGGTCGAGGGGCATCTGTTAGTGTTTTCACGTGATTTTCTAAGCTCAGGAGACTTTCTAATCGTGAGTGACGTGTGCCAAGAATACTATCATCTTGGGCCAATTTGTAGACTTGTGATGTTTGCTTTTAAGGTAAAGTCTACAAAAACCCAGTGTATGATGACTTCGACTTCACGGAGGCGCCCATGTTCACCCAGCCTTTGGTTAACACCTATGCCGTGGCTGGTTACAATGCCACCCTGAACTGCAGTGTCAGAGGAAATCCTAAGGTACTGTGGTTTCTATCAAGCTAATCCAATTTCAGAGCTGACCCAGACTCACTACTTTATATCTTCCATGTGATAATGTAAGTAATGCATTCAGCAGATCTGTCAACCCTGAGAGAGTCCTTAGGTGGTGCAAATGGTTAAGTGCTCAGCTCCTAACTGAAAGGGTAGTGATTAGAACCCAACTTTACTTGGAGGGAAACGGGCTCTCTCCAGAGATGTTTGTCTCTCCTCTCTGTAAACTAGACTTTACAAGTTCGGTCGCTGTATCTGATAGTCTATCAACCGCTACAAACAAATAAAGAGGTTTTGACTCTACTGTCTTCCATCTTAACCGCAGCCCAAAATAACCTGGATGAAAAACAGAGTTGCTATTGTGGGTGACCCGCGTTACAGGATGTTCAGCAACCAGGGCGTCTGCACGCTGGAGATTCGCAAGCCCAGCCCCTACGATGGAGGCACCTACTGCTGCAAGGCCGTCAATGAGCTGGGGGAGGTGGAGATGGAGTGCAAACTGGAGGTGAAAGGTAAGACACCCGGACCCTCTGTCTGCTCACGTTCAAGGCTGCCATACATTCTTGTTCTGACTGCAGAATCCAAACTACTCGTCAAAATGGTTTTGATTTCTACATTCTGCATTCCTTCCGATGTATTTGTTGAGGACTACTTGATGATTTCAGTAGACTTATTTTTTTAAATGACTTACAGTTCTTGTAAGGAATCTCTGTAGAATACTAGAGGAGGATAGTACAGGGAAAATGAATGACTTCCAAGGGATATTATTGCGGGGACAGAGTAGCTATAATAGGATCCCAGTGAAAAAGCTGAACCCATAAAACTACAATTAAGGAACTCATGCTGAATTTTAAATTAGTTTGCTATTTTGTGAAAGTTCTAATAAATGTAGTGGTAAGTTACTGGTTTCATATTCAGTGATATGTATAAAAACCACAATAACCTGTATTGTAAATAATTACTTCTAAAAATCCCACTAAGGTATATCCATTTATAGGTATATTTTCATTAATAGTTTTCAGAAGTCATTTCGACTAAGAAAACATGAAAGGATTTGGGTGGTAGACATGGCTCTTCAGACCAGCCATCCTAATCCATTTTTTAATATTAATTGAGTATGATTTTGATATTGACTCTTTGCTTGACAATCAATACCTACTTTGGGACAACCTGAAAACTGCTCTGCCTGGCAGAGTTACCGTGACGACATGCTAGGTGACACGACTCACCTGTGTTTGCTCTTGTTCTTACTGTTTCATGTCCTCACTCTGTGATAACGAGTCTTCGTTTTTCCTACCTCTCTATGTGATCAAATTATCTCAGTCTGAGAGCTAGGACTTGACTCACATTCAACACTAAGTAGCTATTTTAGAAAATCATAATAAACATTGAGAATATAGATGTAAAAAATAATTAATTTTAGTCCTACATATGGTATATAGTAGAGACATTTCTTGAAAAAATTATTTCTATTTATAACCTTTTAAGCACAGTGTATGCTTGTCGCAGGTGTGTAGCATAATAGATTCATAATCGAGCGCTAAGCAGCATTCTTTTTCTGACTTTTCCCCCTCAAATCCAAGAATAAGGCACATCATATTCTTAGAAACATCTCACACCTTACTATAGAGCTAGTTCTTCACAAATTTAAATGTATTCTCCAGCTGCTTTAATAGCTAGAAACACAGTTGCAATATATCTAACCTCTAAATTTCTAGTCTTATTTTTGTTCTAAGGCATTGTTGAAGCTTGTTTCAAAGTGCCAAACATATATATACACACACACACACACACACACACACACACACACAATGTGACTTATTAGTGCTTTGAAAATAAGTGAGTGTTGCTAATGCTATAAACTGTTGTTTCCATCAGTGGTTCAACATTCAGGGGGCGGGGCAGGCGGATAGTCCTTCATAAAAGTGAACACTATTATACATATAGAGATGATAAAAGTTTGTAAGGGAACTTAGGAGCATGAACAATGTACTCTAATACATAAGTTCGTTATAAGGTGACATAGCTGTGGGTCCTAGAAATAAAGCTGAGATTGTTTATCGTCAGATTGTTATCTGATAATAGGTGACTTGAATCAAGTTAACTGAGGGGGGGGGGAAAGGTAAGAATGTCAACCAAGAATAAATAAATACCGGTACAAATATTCTAATTCTACAGTGATATATCAAGGAGTAAATACCCCTGGACAACCAGTCTTCCTGGAGGGGCAGCAACAGGTTTCAAACGTTCATATCCCACTGGATAGTCCTACTTTCTCTTCCATTCCTCTGACATGAAATTGCCCTTTGCATGTAAAGCTTGCCTTTCTCACGTGCTTCCCCTGTGCTTCCTAGCCGCCCATGGCATACGAGTCTTCATGCCATGGGTAAGGAAGGCCAAATTAGTCAAGGATGTTAAGTAATTCAGAACCCGAGTTTTGTCCGAAAACGAAGTCTGCCCTCCCTGGTGTCTATGTGTTCCACCAGGAAGTACGTCTGAGAAAGGGCTCGTGGTAAACGTGAGGCTACCGCAGCCGGGGGCCTTCTCTTGATGGTCCGTTGTTCACAGGTAGTTTTCCCTTAAGGTCGTTTCCAGTTTCGTTTCCTTGGAATCAACTTGGTCAAACTTGAGAAAACAAGAACATTTCTTTCAATGGCTATGTTTAGTGTCGGGTACTTTTGATGGAAATAGGATACAAAAAAAAAATCAGAATGCATTCAACCTTTAGAAGCTTACACATGGAAGACTTGACACGGAAAATAACCAGTAGCATGTTGGGGACCCATGGATCCGTTGGCTCTTTTGGACATTTTCATGGGGCTGAAATGAGTTCACCAAAGAATGAACCTAATTTAAAGAACCGACCCCCCTGGACCCTGATGCAGAATGTATAAAGCTATAAATGAGCCCTGCCCTATGTCAGGAGGGCTTAAAAAGGGGTAGGGGGAAATTCTCCTATCTTTTCATTTCCCTCTTTTCCCCAAAACATTTTGAAGCCCCTTCAAATGTGTGATTGACTCCCATTTGGGAGAGGAAATTAAGAGTTCTGTGGAGCTGAGTGAGCAACTGAGTGTAAACTCAATAACGAAGTAGATCTATACCTGAGCTTACAGTTTTCCCCTGAATTCCCAGAGATGCCGTCGGCTTTCAAAGACAGAGTTCTCCTTAGAGTTTTGTAGATTTTATATATATATAATCACCCGGTAGTCTCAGTTTTGTTTCAGCCTCATGTTTATTTTGGTCAGTTACACCAAATCAGTTCAGAATATATAATATTCTAGAATCCACTAGTTTAATATTTAGATCTACTTGATAATTTTGCCTTTTAGAGTTTCAACATATATATATGTACACTAATGCTTTGTCTATTGCCTTAACGTTTTTCTTTTGTTGAAAAACACAATATATATATGTTGTAGGGTCTTCTTTATTTTGTTGTCTTCTCCCTTAAGCTAATGGTTTGGAAGCTCTGACCATAAATGGTCGTTGTACAATCAAATTGGCTCTGCCACCTGCTCACACTTGGTAGAAACCAATTTCTTGTGGTTGTGCATATTAATAAATCATTTACTTATTAATGACCCTTTTGAAGTGGCTGGATCCCTGCCCTTCACTCCATGCGCTTCTATTTCCCTTCATCTTTCACATGACTAAGGATTAATGAAATCTCCTCATCATAATCATGACCGTAATTTTATCCAACAAGTACGCAACTTCTGGTGTTAGCACTTTTATTAATGCTTACCACTCTCTCTCTCTCTCTCTCTCTCTTTCCCTCTCTCTTCCTTAGTCGTAGCACAGTAAGGACTTTTGAATGTATATTGCCATCTAAGGTAAGCTTTCATATGGTTTTGGCATATGAAGCTTATGACTGTCATAAGCCATACAAAGCCTGTGGAGTATGGCATGATTTTCATTATGGAATCCAATGAAAATAAGACTGTTTCAAACTGCTAACATCATAGCTTTCCTTTGTATTTCCGTATCTTGACATTAACAGCTAGTACTTATTCCCCACGACCGCCCCCTGGTGACATGAAGCAAGTTGTTGAATGCCGTAGAGCATGAGCGAAATAAAGCATTGAGTAGCGATGGGAACGCCCAAGCATCCTGACCTCTTTGCATCAAGGAATGGACGTGTACATAAATGGCATCATTTCTACCACTATGTGACTTGGATTTTTTTTGAAAGGAGAATGACGCTCTCAGATTTGCATTAGAGAAGTTTTAAGAATGTTCAAATGGCATGCTGTTTTGGGGGGTTTTTTGGTCTGTACGTGAGTTTAGTAGCAAGTAGTCCAGCCCTTCTCTAGAGAAGGATGAGTTTTTGTGGTTTCCTGGGTTCTCGCTCAAAGGATGCGATGGTTTTTTAAGTGTGAGTCAGAAACGTGCAAGGTAAGTGTGCAGCATCAGCAGGCATTTCGCTCGCCTTCGGAAGAGATTGGACGGTCTTTAAGATTTTTAACAATTTACAAGGCTTCACACTTTTGAGAACGCGTTGAAGGTGTCGTAGCCACAGCTAAAGGAGCATCCCCCCTTTTTTTCTTCTTCTGTGTGCTTGAATTAGATCTCGTTGTGCTTCATTAAACAGAACATTAACACCCTGGAAATGCCTTCCCGCTGATCCATAACACGGTGTGCATTCATCCTGCCCTGAGTCAGAACTCTCCAGTCACCTACTGGACAATCATCAAACCTGTCCAAGAGCACCGAATCAGCCACTAAGGAATTTAAAACGGGGCTCAATTTAACAGTAGGAAAAGAAACATTTAAACCCCCAAACCAAGCTGCTATGGGTCTGCTGGGAATCTGCTTTTCCTTCTACACGCCAAGCGCTTTCAACCCTAAATGTACTAAAACCAGGAAGAGGGTTCCAAGTGGGGACTAAATGACCTTTGTGACTAACTGGCATCTGATTAGCCATGTGGCCAGGGAGCTCGCCAGACGGCATGATTTCAGCGGTGCCTTTCACGTGGACGGTGTTGTGACCCTGCCTTTTCCTCTCTGTCCTCTCCAGGTGGGCTCTCCTTCTGCAGGCTCCTCTTGCAAGGTGTGCCTCCTAACATAATTGATTCGTATTTGCGAGATTTACAGTCAAGCACTCCTGAAGAATACTAAGGGCCTGGGCATTGCCCCGTTACACGCCACGGCGTTGCGGTCCGGTTGCAATGAGAGTGTTTTCCGCATTTCCACCAGGCACCCAGGGGCGGTGGTTTTCTTTCCTCCTCGCGTTGAAGAAAAAAAAAAAAGTGTCTGCATGGATTGCTTTATTAAAAATGGCAAACAAACTTTCACATGATGTCAGCACTTGGGTCATTTGTGTGTGTGCTTGGTCACGAGACAGTGTTGAGTGGAGCTGTTTACGCGCGGGGTGGCAGTTTGGCCCGGCTGGGAGAAAGTTGAGGCTTCCTTCTCCCAGGAGGAGCAACAGCCCGGAAACTCAAAGAGGCAGTTCTACTCTGTCCTGCAGGTGACGATGAGTCCCAATCAACTTGCCGGCATAAACAAAAGCAGTTATTTTCGTTTAAAGTCGAAGGCTGTAAATGCCTTTCTCTGCCGGAGGAAAATCCAGCACAACGTGCCAGGATAAAGTCTTGAAAACCTGTCTTCCTATTGGCCTCATCGATTGCGAAGGAAAGCTGAGTCGTGTCCCGCAGGCCTGCTTAACTACTTAACCAAATAGAACTGTGCCTTAAGGATTTTCAGTGGCAGAGTTTTTGGGGACATCAGTCACCAGGCCTTTCTTCCACGTTGCCTTGGGGTGCACTCGAACCCCCGACCTTTTTGGTAACAGGCTAGTTGCACCCCCCTGGCACGCCTGGGGCGGCCTCCCGGCCATGCCCCCATGACTCCACCCGAACAACTGGGCACAGGCACCGGGACTGTTGCAGACCCCAGGGCAGCTACCTCTGGAGGGTTTGCTGCCAGCTTCTGTGGAAATGGAAAGACACTTGTTTGAGAAGCATTGCTACTGGCCCGTAACTGTTTCAGCAACTTCCTCTGCTCCTCCCAACGCTACAAAGTTTGAGTTGAGAGGGAAGGAGTGTGCAGAAGGCATCATTTCCCCCCACCCACCCCCATGGTGGACTTCTGTTCCAAGAAATAAATACATGGACACTTGGAGGTATCCTGGTTGACGTTGAACAAGAACTGCTTTTCCTCCTGTCACCTTGGAGCTGGGACGTTGTGATGGTGGTCAGGGATGGGTGCAGGGATGGGTGCCGGGGAGAACAACACAAGGGACGCAAGAGGCAGAGGATAGCAGAGCAGTGGGTCTGTGAGGAGTGGGTCAAACGGAAGGAGCCCCCGTGGTCAAGCCCTCGGACCAGCTGCCCCAGAGGGGAAGATCTGATCTTCCCTGGGGGCCTTCGGCTCGGTCTCGTAGGCTAGCCAGGAGTCAGGATGGACTCAAGGGCACATAGCAACCTCAGGGGACCCTGCCCTTCCTGAGCAAACGACGTAGCTCCGTTTTTCTCTTCTGATTGGCTGGTGAGCTGGCCTTACTAGTTGTTGAAAATGTTGGCCATCGCCTCTGTACCCCTCCTCTCTCAAGCTCCAAAATACAAATGTGTGCTATTCCTGTGCAAACCTCCATTTTCATCAGGAAATGGACTAAGTGACTGTCTGGAAAGCCAGTCTGGTGCCTCCACAGAGACCCAGGGGCCTTATCTCGGTGTGTGAGTCAAATAAACGCCTATGTGGCAAACTTTTGGTGCAGGGGGGCCCCGCCGTCTGGCTGCTGGGTGTGTTGCCTAACTCAAAGCAAAAGCAGCACTGGCCAGTGTTGCCAAGTCCTGGTGAGGCTTGTCAGGCCACATGGAAACACAGCCCCAGAAGTGACCAGAAAGCAACCTTAAAAAAAAAAAGTTCGTTTCCCCAGGCCCGTCTTACCATCTTTTGTTCTAATTATTCTACTTCCATGGAGAGGTACAGTCTCCGAAACTTGCCGAGGCAGTCCCACCCTGTCCTGCAGGGGGGCTCTGGGTCATCGGCAAGGGGGATGAGTCGATTCTGTACTGGTAGGGTTACTTTTTCCTATATGGTTCCTCTGCGTAGCACAGGTGTCCCTTAGTGGAAAGTTTCAGCAAGAAGGAAAAAGGCTTCTTTTGAAAGGACGCAGGCAAGCAATGTCAGAAACTGTCATTTTAATTTTTTTTTCTCTACTTTGGTCCTAAATTTGCTTACCTTTCATTCAGCTAGGAAACAGTTATGCTCCAGGAACTTACCAAAAACTCTTCACAATTTTTAAAGGATCATATGCATTTAACTACTTTGAAAGGAAGTTTGATGAATGCTCCCCTTTAAATTAGTACAGAGTAGAAAAGGAAAATGAGGCCAATATTTCCAAAAAGCAAAAACATTGAAACGGAATAATGGGGCTTTCACCATTCATTTTTACATTGGTTTTGGGGATGTGCTATTTGGTTCCAAAAAGGAGTTCTTGGATGTCTGCCATGTCCTGAGATGAAGTCTGTTAGGAAAGAACCCAGGATGAGAGAGTCGCTGAATGCCTTCAAGGAATGTAGAATGGACACGACTAGAATACAAGGCAGAACACATGTCTTACCAGAAGACTGCAAAGAGAATGCTAGAAGGTTTCAGAAGCTGAGTGGTGTGGTTTACACCTTTACTATTATCCGTGTACATATCACCATAGGATGAAATATAGGACACACCACATCAGTATTCTAAAATCAGGAGAGGTGTACCCAGGATTGGATCTTCCCACCATACTTATTCAATCTGTATGGTGAGCAAATTATCAGAGAAACTGGATTATATGAAGTAGAATGTAGCATCAGGATTGGAGGAAGGCTTATTAACAACCAGCGATAGGTGCTGACACATCCTTGCTTGCTGACAGTGAGGCAGACTTGAAGCACTTGCTGATGAAGACCAATGACTATAGCCTTCAGTGTGGATTATGGCTCGATGTAAGGAAGACCAAGATCTTCACAACTGGACCAACAGGTAACATAAATGGATAAACAGAGAACATTATCAATGGACAAAAAGTTAACATTGTCAAGGATTTTGTCGTCCTTGGCTCCACCATCAATGCTCATAGAAGCAATAATCCAGAAATTGGAAGAACTGATGAATCTGAATTGTGGTGCTGGTGAAGAACAGTGAATGTACCATGGACTGCTGAAAGGACAACCCAGTCTGTGTTGGAAGAAGTACAGCCAGAGTGCTCCTTAGAGGCAAGGATGGCAAGACTTTGTCTTACATTCTTTGGACATATTGTCAGGAGACCCAGTCCCTGGAGAAGGACAGTCTCAAGGTGTCTCTGTTGACTAACCAGATGGCAGAAGCTAGCTTTTTGGCCACTAACAAGCAGGTGAACTCTCAGATCTCTGCACATCTTCATCCAACATGTGTGTCTCTGAGCAATACAGGAAGTGATGAAAATTCCAAAGAGATTGAGGTGGGGGGACCCACCATGAAGCCAACTGCAGTGAGGGAAACCAGGTATGAATTAGACCAATGATGAGAAGTCAGGTTACACTAGAGAAGCAGACTCACAAAGGGGTGGGGGGTGGGGGGGACCCCCTCTCCTGATTCCGAGGGCTGTCATCGCTTTCTTCATGTTTCAAGGTGATCTCCTCATGTCCCCAGATGCATTGGCCAGGGCAACTCTTATCCAGTCCGGGGTTTTTCTTCTTTCTGGTGTAGATTCCTTTATAGCTCATGAATCTGAGGAGGCAGTGAGCGACAGTGTTAAAACTATCTGGGTCTCAGGATGTAACCCAGGGTATTAGTTGATTATAATAAGTCATTGAGAAAAGAGAGAACCCACCTTTCACTCAAGTGCACGATCAGCCCTTCCTTCTTTTGCTCCTAAACAGCCGCTTCACCGTCTTTCTGTTCTCCACAGAGAAGCCCTCACAGTTGCCCAGAGCAAAGGATTCTCCTTTTATTGCTCCGATGTTAGACATCTTCAAGATGGTATGCACACATTTTTAAGCTTTAGCTTAATATGATTTTTTAAAGTTAACATTTAAAACTCATAAGTAAAAGTTACTGGCAACCTGTGGCAAGCAGAGGAACCATTGTTCAGATTATGTAAGGCACACCAGCATACACCCCCCACCTTGGAGGACTGAAGACTGGATTGGTAACTGGTAAGGAGCCATGTTTCAAAGTAAACCAAAGCTGGTTTCAAGTCATGTGGCCCTTTGGAAGTTCCAGGCAAGTTATGGGAAGAAGTGACATTGGGCTGGCCTTCCCAGACCCACTCCTAAGTGTCCACTGGGTGTAATCCTTGTTAATTCTCTTGCCATTCCTGCACTGGCAGGTGCCACTGACCTGGAGGGAGTTGGGGTAATAGTGGAAGGTATCAAGGAGAGGCAGAACCCCCTCTTTGCAGAGGTATTTTTATGCACTTCGCAATAGCTCATAGTCAGGGATCAATACGTAGATGGAAGATTCCAAAGTAACAATCCATTAGCAAGGTGCATTCCCCCCGGGGTCAAGCCCTCACTTGAACTCTGGACCCCAAATCTGCCTTTAGTAACTGCACTCCATCAAGATAATAACTGTAAGCAAGACACATAGATTCCGGGGGAAGACAGGACAGTATGATAGAGGGGGTGCAGTACAAGGCCAGGCTCCTAGGAGCAACATCAGGCAGGAGTGAGGGAAGCAGTATATTAACACATGATTTGGGATTGGCAGTCAAAAACTGCAAGGCAGAATGAAGCCAGAAGCACATATCCCTTCCAGGCAGGGACCTAAAGAAAGAGAACACAGCAACGTGAACTGGAAGCCACTTCTAAGACCTTCAGGCATTTATTCTTTCCAGTGTATCTCTATGTGTTAGTCTGAGTAGACTAAAGAAACAAATTCACTGACACGCATATATGTGTAAGAGAGAACTTTATATCAAACAGCAATTGTATATTAAGAAACATCCCAGCCCAGTCCAGATCGATCAAGTCCATAAGTCTGACATTAGCCCACATGTCCAACACTAGTCCACAAATTCCTCTTTAGACTTATGCAGCCATGCAATGATGTCGAATGCAGAAAGATCACAGCAATCATGTAGATCCAGTGGTGGTGGAAGCATCTCAGCACTGGTGTGGGTCTCCATGTGGGTCCTGCAGCTCCAGGGCTCTGACTCCATCAGTGTATCTCCATGTGGCTTGCCAACGGGAATGGGAAACAGAGAATGTGTCCTGCCTCCAGAGAGGAAGACAGGCATTCCCAAAATCCTCAGAAGGCCATGCC